CATCTTGCATACGCCTCCCCCACCCCCCCCCCCGCCCCACCCCCTCACCACCCCCTCCCCACTTTCCCCTCCCCCCGCCCCGCCACACCTTTTTTTCCCCACTGATCAAAACCGCCACTCACCACCATCGCCACGCGTTCGATTGCCAGGCCCCACACTCAACCAGGGCCTGATGTTTGTGGCTGCACTTGTGTTTGGCGTGCTGTTTATTGTGGGCTGGACTGTGGTGTACAACAAGGTGCTCGACCTCGAGCAGGTCAACCGCGACGAGGCCATGATGGCCAAACTGACGCCGATGCAGATCCTGGCCCAGGGCGTGGCCAATGTCCAGCTGCTGGCATTCTCGGACGTGTCAACGGAGAGCAAGCTGCAGTACATCGGAGGCATGGTGGCAAACGGAGAAGCGCACGATATGTCCAAGACATTCACTGCCTTTGCCGGTGACGCTTTCTTCCTCACCACCACCTCGGCCTCGTCCGCTGTCCGCGGCTCTGCCATCAACAACGCGCTGGCGGCCATGGCAGCGGGCAACGGCTCGCGCATTGTGGCCACGCCTGGCATGAACGACCTCAAGCTCGCGTCGTCGCCTGCAGAGCTCGAGGCGCTCTTTGCCGTCTCGGCCAAGACCGCGACCGCCGCCTCGACCGGCTCGCTCGCGTGGGTCCTCTCCAACATCAAGAAGACGTCCGACGGCATGGCGCTGGACTCGACCTCGGACTTTGTCGTCGTCACCGCCGACGGGATCCGTTTTGGCGTTGTCGGCCTTGTCTCCAACCCCAACGTGGCTGCGCTTGCCTGGGAGGACCCGGCGGTGGCCATCACCCGCATTGCCGACGCCCACGCTGCCGACTACGACATTCTTGTGGCCGTCACCCACCAGACCTCGGCCGACAACGCCAAGCTGACCTCGGTCTCGTCATCGACCCCGACCAAGCTCCCGGCCCATGTGGTGGTCCAGGGCAACTCGTTTGCCTACGGCTACTCGGCCGCCAACGGCAAGGCTGTTCTCTCGACCTCGGGTGGTAACAACTACCTCTCTGGCCTCGACATGACCATCCGCCGCGAGGCCCCGTCGATGTTCACCGGCATGCCCGTGCCTTACGCCGCCGTCGCCCCGGCGCCCGCTCTCGCTGGCGTCGAGTCGGCGCTCGCCGCCGGCGCCACCGCCTTCACCGACCACCTCGCCGCCACCGCTGGCTCCACCGACGCCGCCCTCGACTTTGCCAACGCCGGCTCGATGGAGACCAACGTCGGCCGCCTCGTCGCCGACCGCCTCGCCGCCGCCGCGCCTGCCGCACCCGCCGGTACCACCAAGGTCGCCATCGTCCATGCCGGTCTCTTCACCGGCACCACCGACGTCCCGTCCGGCTCGTTCTTCCTCTCGGCCCTCCCCCTCTCGGCCGACGAGCGCTTTGTCACGGTCACCACCACTCAGGCCGACCTCAACGCCAAGCTCTCTGCCCTCTACTCGCCGTGGGCCGTCCCCACTGCCAACATGATCCACGTTGATGCCACCCTCGACGGCACCACCATCAACTCGGCGACCGGCGCTGTCTCCACCCCGGTCACAGGCACCATCATGCTTGTCGTCCCGCACTCGTTTGCCACCACCCTTGGCTACTCGTCGACCTCGGCCGCCTCGACCTCTACCATCGCCACCGTCGTCTACAACTACGTCACGGCCACCACTACCATCTCGCCGCCTGCCACTGCCCGCGTCACCATCTCGTAAGTAGAGCGTGGTAAAGTCAGCCCAGCCCCAAAGCCCTGGCCCTTGAGCTCTCTCCGATTCACAGTACCTCCCCCCCCTCCCCCCACCTCACCACCTCATCCCCATGTCACCGCCCCCACCACCCTCGCCGCACTGCTCATCCTCCTCGCCCTCCCCGCGACCCTGTTGGGAGGGGAAACGGCTCTCGGTGAGGTCCGCAATGCGGTGACCTCAGCTGGTGAACTCGCGCCAACGGCGTCAGGCAGCTTCGCCTCGGCCCGGCTCTTGACCTCGTCGACCAACTCGCAAGTCGTTGTTCGCTTCTCGCTGGAAAAGCCACTCTCTTCGGCCATTCTCATTCAATCGATGGCTCTGGCTCTGGCATGGGACGACGCGCCTCTCGTCGCTCCTTCAAACGGATCGTCCCATGCCAACTCGACCGGCCTTGTTCACACCGTCTCCTACCCGGGGGGCTCTGCCAGCCGCATCGGAATGTCTTTGAGCAGCGTACTGCCGAGCAATGACTCTTATCTTGTAGAGGTTGTCGTCGACTCGGGCTTGCCCTCGTCTGGTAATCGATGGCTGTACATTGCGGCGTGGATCGACATGGCGCCATCTGCTGTCCTCCCTGCGCCACACGTGCCGTTCTCGCTCCATCAGCGGATCGACGACTCGACTGGGACTATTGCTGCGGGGGTGGGTGCCGTGCTCCTGCTGTGCTTTGCGTTGGTCCTCTTTCATCAGCAGCGGAAGCATGCGTGGTATCCGACGCTCTGCTCACCGATGGACTCCGCGCCGCCTCCGAACGGTGCCATTGCACCATGGGCGCCCGAATCGGACGACGGCTCGTACTCGCAGGCGTACTACTCGGACGACGACAATGCCGACCGCTCCAAGCGAACCGTCGCCGAGCGCGGTGTCGGTACGCTGGCCGGTGGCTTCTTTGGCGCGCGGACCGGTGACGGCGGCGGAACGGCAGGCGGACACGCCTCGGCGGCTATCGGCAGCGGCGGAGGCGGCAGCCGACTCGACGCCTCTCGCCCGACCGACGCCGCGATCAAGTACGCCGAGCGCCGTCGCGAGACGTCTGCTGTCGGCTATGCTGTCCTTGTTGTCCTCCGGCTCATCTTTTTAGTCTTTGACGCTATCCGGCTCCTCATCAACCTCCAGCTCATCCACGGCTCGCTCTCGCTCTACGTCGGCTCACTGCCATCAATTGGCGACATTACCGATGTAGTCCCGCTCGGCAACCTAGCTCCCATCTTGTTCTCGGTCGATGCGCTTCTGGCGTACTTCAACTCGCTCACTGCCGAGGTGCTGGTGTGGAACTGCGGCGGGACGCTACTGCTGGCGTTTCCGTGGCTCCTTGCGGCGTTCATGGCTGCGTTTGTCGTCATTCTTCACCATGACTTGCTCTTGTTTGTGGCCATCAAGCTGGTCTCGCTTCGGCCGTGCAGCGGACGGACGGGTGCGCTCATTTTCCAGGCCATCTCTGCCCTCCTCCAGGCTGTCCTCTTCTACATCATCCAGCTCATTGTGCTCATCATGCCCCAGGTCTTTCTCGGCATGTGGTCGATCGAGCGAACGTGCTCACCGCTGGACAAGCAGATGGCGGACGTCATGTTCTTTGCCAACATTGCCATCCTCACGCTCTGCTTCATCGTTCTTCTTGTCCTCTTCTCCGGACGCCCGTCGAGCAACATCTCAGGTGCGTGCTGCTTTGTTCCGTTCATCCTCGTCGTCGGCTCACTCAAGCGGCTCTTTCTCCTCACATTTGGCTTTTGGACGCCGAGCCTGGTCGAGGCGCACGGTGTCCGTGAGCGAGCATCAGAGTTTGATGATGACCCTCTTGATGACGATCCCCGCCACGAGACTGTCCTCGTTGTCACCTCCAAATCGCGGTCGCTCATCTGGATGATGCTCCCGCTCACCATTGTGCTCGCTAAGCTTGCTGAGGCCATCAACAACCCACCGCTCACCGTCCAGCACCCGCATGTGTACATGTCCACCTCGACGCTCTTTCGCGCCATCATCCTCCTCTTTCACCTCATCACCTTTGGCTTTCTCATCTCGGTGGTCATCCTGGCCAACAGCGTCCTTTTCTACGCCATGCTCATCTCGCTCATCCCGCTCCATATCTTCCTCCTTGGCCTTGATCTTTTCGGCGTTGCCACAGAGCGGTGACAGTACACCCCCCCCCCCCCCCCCCTGCTTGCGCATATCATTCTGCTCGTGGTTCGTGCTTGTCACTACTGTGCCGGAACCGGCAGGGCGTGCAAGCAAAGTCGTTTGCCGAAAACCTGACTGCCGGCACGTCAGCACGGCGTGCACGGCAGTAGACACCTCTCCCTCCCTCCCACACGCACACACACACACACACACACACACACACACACACACATATACACACACACACACACACACACACACACACCATACATATCATTATGGAGAAAGACAATGCATGCCCTGGATGTGGTGAAGAGGTGGAGGAGGACGACCTGACGGCGCTCCGAGTGCTTGGCGCTCGGTTCCATCGGGAGCACTTTGTGTGCGCCAGCTGTGGAGAGACACTGGCGGGGCGGAGGTTCTACGAGGTGGGGGCCAACAAGCGGACGTCTGTCTCGGTCGGACCGCTCGCGCTCACCTCGTCAGCCATGTGCTGCTCCTGCTATGAGGCTGCCAATGACATTCCTCATTGTCAATGTGGTTGCAACGAACCGCTGCTGGGTACCTACGTCAAGGCCCTCGGCTTCTCCTTTCTCCCCGATCACTTCCGCTGCACACATCCGCAATGCTCGACCTCGCTGGTGGCTGGTTACATGGAGGCTAATGGCCGTCCTGTCTGTGAGAATCACTGGCGCGCAAATCGGAGGTCACTCGCGGGCGCCCCATCGCCGTCGTCGACCGCATCCTCGACCTCGTCGCCAACCTCGTCAACTCGCCCAGGCTCAGACTCAGGGTTGGCCTCGCAGCTGCCGTCGTCGCGTGTCGATTCGCTTCGCGAGTCGGGTGGCACCCCGCGGTCGCGATCGATTGGCTCGGCGCCGTCAGGCGGCGTGCCGCCGCGCGCTACGCCGTTTGCAAGCCTGCCGTTTGCGGCGGAGATCGATGCCGTCACCGCTGCTCTCCGACCAGTCCTGGCCGCCATCAAGGTGCGCAACCCGGGAGAAGTGGCGCCAAACCTGCGCTCGCTGGTCACGTCGGTCAAGACGCTCATGGCCTCACTGCGTGCGATGTGTATCAACGGCGACGCACTCGCCAGCGCGCTCAAGACCGCGTCGACCAAGGCCGTCTCGCAAGCCAAGATCGTCATCCGCCCCGCCGCCGACGACGCCTGCTGGCGTGCGTTCTCGCTCGACGTTCTCGAGCTGGGCAAAGAGGTGCGCGCCGCGCGCGACTCGGCGGTGCTGACCTCTGGTGCAGGTGCTGGCCCGGCCCGCCCCGTGGCACGCAACGCGTCCGACCTACCATCGCGGACGCACAAAGCCATGCTCACAGCCCAGACCGGGGCTGCCAACGCTGCACGCCGGTCGCGCGCACTTGCCGCGGCGCCCAAGCGCGGCCCTCTGCCCAAGAACTTCCGTGAGTACGCAGAGTACCACTCGCTCGACATCTCAGGCTTCACCAAGAACCAGCTCGCCTGCCAGGAGGTCATCTACGAGATGATCCAAACCGAGGAGGCATACGTCCTCGACCTTCTCATCCTCATCGACGAGTTCCTCACCCCGCTCCGCGAGTTAGACATTGTTTCCGCCGACGACCTCGACGCGCTCTTTGGCAACGTGGAGGAAATTCTTCCACTCCATCGCGAGATGTGGTTGCAGTTCAAGAAGCGCCAGAAGGAGCGCAAATGGGTGGAGCGCGTCGGCGACATCCTCTCTGACAAGCTCCGCCGCATCCTTGTCGTCTACACTCCGTACTCGTCCAACCACGAGCGGGCGCTCAACACGCTAGAGAGCCTCACAGCGTCGTCCAAGAAATTCCGCGCCTTTCTCCAAGCTCGGTTCGAGGATCCCAAAACCAAGAGCCTCCCGCTCGGCTCCTTCCTTATCAAGCCCATCCAGCGCCTTTGCAAGTACCCGCTTCTCCTCCGCGAGCTTCTCCGCAAAATGGATGCTGCCAACGACGTCGACTACGCCGCACTCGTCGAGACGGCCGACAACCTCGGCACCGTTGTCTCCCGCATCAACGAGTGGAAGCGGACGGCCGACAACCTCAACAAGCTCGATGTCTTTTTCAAAGGCCTCGAAGACCCCGATGGTCTGCTCCCGCCCGACCTCAAGATTCGCAACTTTATCACCGAGGGAGAGCTCAACATCGGCGTCATTGTCCCCTCCGCCATCAAGCGCAACACTATGGCCAACTCGATTCTCAAGCCCCGCACAGAGTACGCCTACCTCTTCGCCGGCCTTCTCGTCATCGTCTCGCGCAAGCGCATCCGCTCCACACGTGTCGTCACCGCCGCCCACGATCTCGACGCCATGCACCTGCTCGACACCCCGCCGCTCATCTCGGACACTTTTCCACACTCCATCGCGCTCACCCCGCTCATCTCCACCGCCACCGCTTCCTCGGTGGATACCGCCTCTGTCCGCCGCTCCCGCTCCTCAGCAACGCCCGGCGATCTCGTCGTCCTCGTTTTCGACTCGCCCCACGACCGCACCCCCTGGCTCAAGGCAATCACCACAACCATGACCGAGCGCAAGTCCCTCGGTGCTCCTCCCACCATCACCTCTTGATCCCAGCAACTGTACCCGACCCGCGCCATGCCGCTAGCCATGCGCGAGCCCCGGAAATTGGAGCCTGGTGATACACTGGCTGGCTCTTATCGGTCTCTTACCCTCGCCCGGGACATCTACCTCATTGTCGCCGAGCGCGGCGTCTTCTAGCCCGACGCCCTCTAGCGCCACCGACTCTCGGCTCAGCTCCAGGTCGAGGTGTTGATGCCGTCATCGATCTTGCCACCATCCCCTGTCACCCGCTCCCTCACAAAGACTGGCGGCGAGACTGACATGGCCACAGTAAATGAGCTCGGGCTCGCCTCTCTAAACCATCGCAGTCACCAACTTCTCCGCCATCTCTTTTCCGTTCTGTGCGACACAGCTTTCGATCGCTTCGATCGACAGTGGTCATGCCAGCGACAGCGACAACAACAGCGACAGCGATAGCGGCGCGAGCTAGCACCGCTCTCTTTCCCGCACTCGCCATGGCATGCGCTCACCAAGACCGTCCAGGGACCGACATTCGGCTGGCGGATGCGCTCGTAGCCATAATCAGCGACCTCTGTGCAGCGAATCGAACCCATCGCCGCGACTGGTAGCGGCACTGGCGGCGGCCGAGTCGCTTGCGGATGAGACAGCCGAGGCTACGACCAAGGCGATGGCCGGGATGGCGAGATCGGGGCGAATGGGAGAGGAGCTCCGTGGTGATCTTGCCTTTCTGGCCACCGTGGCAGTTGCCCGCCAACCGATGGCGGTCATCGATGCTCTGGACACTGCCGCCCGACACGCCGCCGGCGTCGGGGAGCTCCGGGCCCAACTGGCTGAGTCTGCCCTCCTGGTCTCGGCCATCGGATGCGAGTCCGGGACGGCCCATGTGGCATACTCCAACGCTGCCGCCTTCCACGGCTCGTGGCTGGCCCATGTCCGCGGGCACAAGGTCCGTGTCGGGCATGAGCATGGTGGTGGAGAAGGTGGGGGTGGGAGTGGGAGTGGCCGTGGTCGCGCCGATGATCTGCTCGTCGACCCGGTGGCCACGGCTGCCGCTGGCATCCCCGCTCTCAGCCACTCGCCCGAACATTCGAATCCTGCTACCTCTGTGCTCTCCTTCCCACTGCTCAAGTTCTTTGACCTCCGCCCGGGCTTGGTCTCGCTGTCAGCGCTAGTGGCGGTGTTGGGCGGAGCGGGTGTGGCCATGAGCGAGAAGCTGGATGGGGCCATCATCAAGCTGACGCCCAGAGCGGCGGACAACAGTGGTCTGCTGATTGAGTCACAGAAGACCACTCTTCGCCACGGGCATCCCATGCACCGTATGCTGTGCGAAGCTGTCGACTTGCCCGCCCTCGCCGCTCGCCTCGAGCCGGGCGTCACCTACGTGATCGAGTTGCGGCATCCCGAGTTGACAACAACGGTCGCGGCCGACAAGCCATCAGCTTATCTCATCGCCGCCGTTGCCCACCCACCAGCCTACCGCATGCTGAATGTAGCGACGGTGGCGTCCAGCATCGGGCTGCCCATCCCGCGGCGCCTACCGCTGCCGCCTGCCGCCGAGGTCGACGACGTTGTTGCCGCCATCGAGGCCGAGAGCGAGCCGGGCTTTGAGGGTGGCGTGCTTGCAGTCGAGTCGGCCGCTGGCGAGCCGCTGCTGCTGATCAAGGTCAAGACGGCCATGTGGTGCGCCCTTCACGATCTCGGCTTGGCATCGCACGACGCGCTGCTCGCTGACCTGCTCGTCTCGCAGCTGCATGCGCTCGCCGGTGACGTTGGGGTTGCGGTTCGCGGCCTTTCGCCGGATCTACTCGCCCACGGAGTTGCCCGTCATCTTGGCCCGGTACTCCCGGCCCGGCTTGGCGCCGCTGTCGCTAACCTCGGTCGTGCCCTCGACCGCGTCGACGCCGCAGCTCTGATTTGCCTCGACGACTCGGCGCTTCACGCCCATGTCGCACGCCTCGATGGTATGCCGCCAGTTGTGGTCACCACGATCGTCAAGTGGGCACGGAGCATGTCGGCTGCGAGTGGCTCGGCGGCCCCGCTGCCGCCACTCTCGCGCGTGTTTGCGCGCGAAGCCCTCGCAGCTGGAGGCATCAAGCATGTGCTCTCGCTGGCCCGGGCTGTGCTTAGCATCCCGTCGGGCCTGCGCACGCCGTCGATTGCGTACCCGGCCCGATGTGGCCGGGTACTGCCGCAACTGACCCGGGCTCAGGCCATGAGCATGTATCTTGTCTGTCGTGAGATGACGTCGGCCGCCGCCGACGCGCTGGTCGCCGACGTCGCCTTTGCAGGGCCAGATTCCGGTCAACTGGCTTGCTATCGGCGGCTACAGGCGTGGGCATCAAGCACTTTGCCGCCCGTGGCGCTGCGGCCATTTGGCTCGTTTGCAGTGCTCGGCGGAGCGCTCCCGGTCGGGTCCGACATCGACTTACTGACCAACACGCCTCTGGATGAGCTGGCGCCTGCAATTGCCGCGGCTTTTGGAGACGACCTCCTCCAAAGCCGCATCGTCACCGACGCCGCCTTCCCGGTCCTTGCTCTCGAGTTTGCCGGAGGCCTCCTCGTCGACATCGTGTATGATGGGTCGGCGTGGACAATCATGGATGCCAACACGGCGGTGCGTGCGGCGCTGATAGCCGCGGGCTCTGAGGCTGACACCGTCTCCCGCCGGACCGCACTTGTGGCGTTCACGCGTCACATGCGGCGGCCAGGACTGCTGCCATCATCGATGCATGCGCACATGCTCTTCCTCGGTTGCTGCGCCCGCATCGGGCTCGTCCCGCGAGCAGACCCGACCCAGACCCGTGTCGTGCACCAGTGGGTGGGCGACGTTGTGGCGCCGTTCTACGAGCACGCACCTCCGGTGCTGAGTAGCGTGACGGCTGACGGCGCCAGCGCGAGCGTATCTGGCCCCGATGCCGCGGCGCTGGTGGTCGCGGTGGCGGCCGAGGTGTGCGCTGTGCTCGAGACCGGGGGCGAGGTCTCGGTCCTTGCTACAACCGCAATGGCGGCGGTGGGCAGCGGTGCGTTGGGCGCAGGCACCAACTGGGCGTCGCTGGCGGCGCTCAGGATGCAGATGACGGAGAGCGTGGCTGCGGGCGCAGGCGAGGTTGTGTACGTCTTTGACTTTGACGGCACCCTGTTTGATGAGACGACGGCGGCGGCGAGTGTGGCGATGCCTGCACTGCTCTCGCGGGTGGTGGCGGCAGGTGCGCCTGTCCTGGTCTTGACTGGGCGGATCCAGTCGGAGCTCGGGCCTATTTACCGGATCCTGGGCAAGTCTGGCGCGCTCCGCGTGCCGGTCTTTGCGCGTCGGGCGTCGCGGCAGTCGGCGCTCAACTTTAAGGCCGAGGTACTCGCCGATCTGGCGGCTGCAAGTGTGGTCGACGACAGCTGGCAGCAGATCATCCATTACGACGACATTGGCAAAGTGCTGCGTGTCAGCGGCAGGATGGCCGCGCCTTGCACTGTGACGCCGATGCTGCTGGTCAACTGTGGCAAGGCGCCGCTGCGACACTTTACTCCCGATCTAATGGCAAGCTCCACGGCACAAGATGGAAGCGGCACCACGGTGGTCCGGGTCATTGTGCCGGGTGAGCCAGGAGTGGGCAAGACAACGTTTCTCACCAAGCTCTGTCCTGCTTTGCAGGAGGCACTCGGCGAGGAGGCCGTTGTGACGGTCCTCGCTAACGATGAGATTCAGGCGACGGTGGGCCGCGCGACGGTGGCGCGCGAGTTGAAACGACGGGCAAACGAGGCAGTGGATGCAGCAAGAGCGGCAGGCAAGACGCCGGTGCTGGTGTACGACAATCGCGGCGCATCATCGCTGATCCACGATGCCAGTTGGCTTGTCTTACGGCTGGCCAGCACGCCGAGTGGGTACGAGGTCATGGACGCACTGGCGTACCTTGGCGTGCTGGATCGGCCGGATCATGCCAGCGATGCGAGCTCGGTGGAAGCGGCGACAGTGTCGCGCGAAGCATGGCTCGAGTACACCACTGCCGTCCGCAAGCTGCACAGCAGGATCCGTGACGGCAAGTACAAGCACGGCGACAAGGTGGTGGCTGCAACCGAGGCGGCTGGGGGGCAAGTAGTCTCGCTCGGGATCTGCGATAGTGCCGAAGCCGAACTCGCCCTCGCGGAGTATGCCGAGCCGCTGGCGACGATCAAGCACCTTTTCTCCGGCCGTCGCAAGGGCAACCCGATGGCGGGCCTCTCGTGGGGGGAGCAGGCTGCGGCGCTGGCAAGTGCACTCGACGAGGTCCGTGGCCTGCACTCGCGGATCTACGACGCAGACGGTCTGCTGGATGTCGCTGTGAGTGCGGTGGTCGACGGGGTTACTCACGGCGGAAGCGCACGTGTGAACGCCGCCGTTGTGCCATGGTTCCGGTTTGCCGGGCTGTCGCTTCCAACGCTCAGCCGAGCAATGTGCACGTGGCGCGCGACGGCGTCAGGAGACAGTGCGTGGGCGCGCGCGGTAGCGGCGGCCGGCGGTGACAGTGCAGCGCTGGAGGCCGACGCAGATGCCCGGGCACGCATCGGGTTCCACGTCACGCTGCGGTACATCGCCGAGGCGACGGTGGGTGATGTCCGAGCACTTGACGAGACTGCCAACGCGGCACTGGCTGATGGCGTCGAGGTGAATGCGGTCGAGCTGGTCGCCGGGCGCGGGATTGTGTGCTTGGCAGTGGCGCTGGGCGGCATCGAGGTGGATGCCGGACGGCGGCCTCATGTGACGCTGGCGACGGCCCCCGGCGTGGCGGCGCGCGTCTCCAATGACGTGCTGGATGCGCGTGCGGCCGGTGATGCTGACGTGGAGTCCATCGTGCTCGACGAAGCCGACGCGGCTGCGCTTAGGGTCGTCGGCGAGTACTGTGTGTGGAGCCCTGTGCGAGGCTAGGCGATTGCTTTCTTGGTGGCACGTGGCGGAAACATGGCGGCGACTGCAAGGTGTGCGTCGGGATCAGCGAGCGCCGAGACGAGGGCGGTGACAGCTGGGTGCCAATCAACAAACAGCGCTTTGAATGGAGAGCTCTCCGAGCCTGCATCGAGCACGGTGACGTGCAGAGCCCAGGGGCGGGCGACAGCAAGACATGGCGCATGTTCGCCGGCCTGCAGCGCAGCGGTGAGTGCAATGGTCTCGGCCTGTGAGAGCGTTGCGCGTGGGGCCTTCCAGATGTAGGCCGAGAAGAGACCGTCGTCAGCGACATACACGGCGTCATCGGCAGCAAGCGCAGCGCGGGTCCACAGTGGGCTCTCCAGGGGCGCCGCACGGGTAAAGGAAAACGAACCGCCTGGTGATCGCGTCGCTTTGACTAGCGAGGGCGAGTTGGTATCGATGCCAGGCGGCAGCTCGAGCGGCGTGTCGAGCACAGCCGCGAGATCGGCGGCGTGGGCAAGCAGCGGGGTAAGCGTGCCGGACGCACGGGCAGCAGCGAGGGCTCGCACCCTGGCGGGGCGGGGGGCCTCTGGTCCGGCCCAGACAACCGAGGCGTGGCCTGAGGACTGCGGCAGCCAGAGGACGCGCGACGGGTTGTCGGTCCATCCCGGCGCGAGCGGAATTGGACGATCGTATAGGCAGTATTCGGACGACGGGCAAAGAGTGACAAGATGACCGCGAACCTCTGGAGCCGGAGCGTGTGGGGGGGTAGGATGTGACGGTGGCGCCGTCTGCGTTGGTGACGGTGGCGCCGCCCGCGTTGGTGACGGTGGCGCCGCCCGCGTTGGTGACGGGGGCGCCGCCCGCGTTGGTGACGGTGGCGCCGCCCGCGTTGGTGACGGTGGTGCCGTCCGCGTTGGCGACGGTGGCGCCGCCCGCGTTGGTGACGGTGGCGCCGCCCGCGTTGGTGACGGTGGCGCCGCCCGCGTTGGTGACGGTGGCGCCGCCCGCGTTGGTGACGGTGGCGCCGCCCGCGTTGGTGACGGTGGCGCCGCCCGCGTTGGTGACGGTGGCGCCGCCCGCTTCGGAGATGGTGGCGCCGGGACGCCACCTGCAAACGCTGCGCGCGCAGCCTGCATGCGCGATGTCGACGGAGAGCCCTCGGACGCGGTCCGCCGCCCCCGCCCCGATGCAGCCTTGACTGCGCTAACCTTGGACTTGGGTTTGTCAGTCCCGACATCGCCGCCAGCAAACGCCGCCCTGGCCGCCGCTACCCGCGACGCCTTTGGCACGCCCTCTGTCGCCCGCCGCGACTTCCGCGGCTCGCTGGATCCGCCCTCAAACGCGCTCCGTGCCGCAGCCACTCGTGATGGCGACGGAGTGCCCTCGGACGCAATCCGATCACGTCCGGCCAGGCGCTTGCCGCCGCCTGTCGGCCCACTCGCCAAAGGCGTTGCAGCTTCGCTCGCCACAGGGGCTAAAGCGTCGCGGGCGGCAGCCGCTCGCGCAGGCGACGGGGTGCCCTCGGACGTGGCCCGCTTGCGCGTGTCATCCCCAGCATCCCCACCGCCACCACCAACAGCAGCTTCGGCCTCCCGCGCATGACGCGAGCAGTAGTAGCGACCAGCAACAATGCCGTATCTCCCGGTCGGCTTGAGAATGCGCTTGCAGGAAGTGCAGGCAAAGCAGCCGGCGTGCAGGCGGACGCCCTTGACCTCATGGGCCTTGTCAAAGGGGTAAATGGCCTTGCCGCATCCCCCGCACGCGCCCTGGCTCGCCATGACCCACAAACGTTTGCAAAGATGCGGCGGCTGCCAGAGGGGGAGAGGGAGGGGAGAGAGAGAGAGACGGGGGGAGTGGGGTATGCAGACACCACCTCCTCCTCCTGCCTGCCTGCCGCGGCGAATGGCATGTCACCGTGGTCGCACCCTCGGTCACCCTTCTCCCTGTACTCCGCCTCCTCTCCCTCCCCCCTGATCCCCCCCCCCCCTCCCTCCTCCTCCTCCTCCTCCCCTCTGCCCTCGTTCCCGCGCACAAACTTTGTGGCAAATGGGCGCCAACACATCTGTGGAGGCCAACATTGCCCTGCTCGATGCTGTGTGTGGTGAGACTGCCCTAGGTGGTCGAGCCGGTGAGCTGCTTGACGACCTCCACGGTCTGACCTTCCACATGGAGAAGGAGTCACGCATACGGAGGGAGCAGGGCATCGCCACCGTCTTAGCAAGAGCTTCTGCCGACATATGTATGTACCCCCTATGCCCATACCTCCCCGTCCCCCTCGCCTGCCGCTGCAGCAGGCCACCGTACATGCCTTGTGCCCGGCCGGGCGTTGATCATGATCACCGCGTCGACGCCACCTTCCACCGCCACCTTCCACCGCACACCACGTGTGGGATACAGTTGCCCCAGATACCCCATCCACATCCCGACATGACCTTGGTCCCATATATGTTGTAGGCCCTTCCGTGCCTTGCTAATTGTCCTTCTTCAGGTGGTAGCCGCTCGTGTTGGCTGGGGTCTCGGCAAAGGTGATGCAGCAAAAGGGCGTAGGACTCACTCGCTCGGCGATGGCATCAGTGGTGAACAACGGCAAGACCGGCAACATGCAGGCACTGATGGGGTATGCGCAGGAGCTAATGGATGAGGTCGGGCGGCGGGTGGCGGTTGACGTCCGGCCGCGGCCACTACCGACGCTGACCAACGCGCTGCTGCTGATTCGGACGTTTGTGGCGGCGGCGGCGGCGGCTGATGTCGTCCTCGTCCCCGATGAGCTGCTCGTTCCATGGATGGCGAGGGTGGGTCAGCTGCTGGTCACCGTCCTCGACGGGATGGGCGGGCCGGTGCTCCCGGTTGCGCTGCCGGCGGCCATGGCCGAGCTCGTCTTTGAGCTCCTCGCCTGCCTGATAGCCTTTGTCTCGGACGCGCTCTACGTCGATGCCAAGACTGTTGCCCGCCCGCTCGCCGCCCTCCGCACCCGTCATGCTGCCCTTGTCGCCGCGTGGACGCCGCCCCAGTTTGCCCGGCTCCTTGCCACCCTCCTCACTGTTTACGCCTCCGACTCGGTGACGCACGCCGAGGCTGCAGCGAAGAGCTCAGCCGCAGGCTTCGGCATGTTTTTCTCGTCGTTGCTCGAAACCAGCGACGCGCAGCGGGCGTGGGCGCCACTCGCCACCCGCGCTGCGGTGGTGATGCTGCTCCTAGCAAGCGATCCGGCAAGTACAGGTGCTGTCACCGCCGGTCTCGCCGACCTCATCGATGCCTTTCCGGGCGTGGAGGATCCGAGTCTGGCGCCAAAGGCCGGGCAAGCTGCGGCGGCGTTTCCGGTGCTCTATGACGCGATCGCAGACCATATTGCCGTGGCGCCTGCCGAGGCCGACGTTCCTATTGCGCTGCTGCATGTGCTGCTCTCGCGGGCGCCTGCATTTGCCGGCTACGTCAACGCGCGGACCGACATCGAGACACTGATGGTCCCGCTGGCGCACGCGCTGGCATCGCCGCTGCGGCAGCGGGCGGCCCATCTTGCGTTGGGCGTTGTCGCGCTCTTGTCCACATCCAAGGCGTGGGTGGCGAATCTTTTTGCATCGCCGGTGCCCGGCGGTGTGCCCGAGTGGTTTACCTCGCGCCAGCTCGCCGGCTCGCTCTCGGCCGGCTCGCTAGTCGTCATTGTTGTCGTCGACCGGCTCATCTCGCTGCTTGGCGCTGCTGCCAAGGACGTGTATGAGGCGAGCCTGGCGCTCGGCGTTGTACTCAACCTCGCGCTCGGGGCGTCGGGCCTGCATCCGAATGCCGCTGAGCGCATTCTGCTCCTCTTTGAGCTCTTTGCCAAGAAGCACCGGCTGCTGGCCGCGGCCGACAAGACGGCGCTTGCTGCCGACCTGGCCCTCGCCGCTGACCTGCTATTCGTCATGGCGTCGGTTGTCAATGCGTGGCTGGCGGCGCTCGCACTCAACCCGTGCTTTGTCTACGTCCTCATGCGCCGGCTAGACCTCTTTGCGCCGTACAAGGCAACCACCGGTGCACTGGCGCCGCTCGTCGCCAACGTGGACGCCATCCAGCGGTTCATGGCGCCGGCCCTGGCGGCGGCGCTGCCGGCCGCCACGGAGTCGGTCTCGGTTGACGCTGTCCTCCGCACCATCACCACCGCGCTGCGAACGTGGACCGGTGCCGATCTCGTCGCGCTCCCGCCGGTCAAGATTGAGTACGCCGAGGCCTGTGACGAGTTGACGTGCGCACGGACCCATCTTCCGCACGCCTGGGCGCTCGCGCTCATCTTTGGCTCGCTCCCGCTCGCCTCGTCGTCGGTCGTCCTCGTCGACGTTTCGCCGCGCGATCCGTTTGTGCCGCGCAAGGTTTCGGTCAGCCGCGGCTCGCGGCGCCGCAGGGTCTCGCGGCGAAAGCGCCGCAAGGTTGCGCGTTCACCGCAGAAACGGGTCCGCTTCCGCCAGCACGTCGATGTACGCGAGATCGAGCCGCTGCCCTCGAGTGAGTCGACGCTCTACACCGACGACGAGGCGAGCGCAGACTCGAAGGAGCGCGAATGAAGCTGTGTGCAAAGCAGTGTTTATCGTCAGAACAGGCCGATCTTGCGCTTGGCCAGCTCGCGCCGCCACGCTGGCATGGCGGCAAACTCCTCGCGCGAGCAGCCGAGCGCAGCCTCAAAGTCCTCGTCCGAGAGGTAGACCTCCTTGGCAGTGTGGTCCATGCCATCGGGAAGCGGACCGTTCTTGAGCTGCTCGAGGGTGAGAAAGCCGCCAGGCGGCGCGTTTCCCTTGGTCTTGCCCTTGGTCTTGCTCTTGGCCTTGGATTTGCCCTTGCCCTTGGCCTTGGCCTTGCCCTTACCCTTACCCTTGGCCTTGGCCGAGCCACCTGCGGCAGCGGTCGCGGCGGGCGAGTCGGTGAGCCCGCCCTTGGACGGCGGCGGGCGGCCCCACTTTGAGCCCTTTGCTGCCCAGCGTGAGGCCGAAGGCGCGGACCAGCCACGGGCACCGGTAGGCTTGTCTGAAACGCCTGACGGCTTGGAGGCCGCTGTCTCGTTGTCCGAATCGGAGGACGAGGCGGCGTCCTGCGCAGCGTCGTAGTGCTCGCGGGAGCAGTAGTCGTAGAGCACGCCGTTGAGAGCCATGCGAGGCTGCGGGCAGTCGCGCCAGGCGCACGGAGTAAGAAAGGCCGAGACGCAAGCCGAGAGCGCCGGTAGCGAGTTGACGAGGGCGCAGTTTGCGGCGACAAAGGCGTCGACGTGGCCGCGGTGCGAGTGGGCGGTGAGGGCGATGAGGAAGAACCGCGAGAGCGAGTTGGCCTTGGAGGTGTAGCGGACCACCTTGTGGGCCATGTCGAGAGCCTCGTCGACGTCCGGGTGGGAGAGGACGAGGCAGACGTCGGAGCAGGTCTGGAGGGTGAGCCGGACGCGCGAGTGCGAGAGGGTGGGCGCGCCGACAATGGCGGCAGGCGTCCAGTCGTGGAGCATGGACCGCCACTCGGGGCCTGCGGCGTGGCCGACAACCAGGACGGTCGACGCTGTGGTAGGACGCGGCGGCGCGTCTGGGTCTGCCGGCGGCGCGTCGGCGGGCGCGTCGTCGGTAGCCGGCTTGGGCGCGGGGCCGCGGGCAGGGGTGTCGAGGGCAGAGCCGCCCGAGCCGAAGACCTGGATCTGGGCGTCGACGTCGTCGTACGAGTCGGCGAGGGCGTTGACGCCTGCGGCCGTGTACTTTGCGAGCGCCTCTGGGTTGTCGCCAAGGCCGCGCATGTGGACAACGATGCGGACGTCGTCGTAGTTGCGGTCGGAGCGGATGTCGCGGAGGAGAGCGAGGCCCTCGTCGCGGGTCTGGCGGGCGATGATGACAGCAACGGACGAGAGGCCTGAGGCACGGACAATGGCCATGGCGGCGTGGGCCTTGCGCTGTGCGTGGACGGTGTGGCCCTGGGCGCGCCAGTAGGCCATGAGGCGCTCCTCGGGCGTGCGGAACTCGGTGGCAAGCCAGACGACTACGCCCATGCGGGTGGCGAGCGCCGGCTTGCGCATGGCCTCGGGCAGGCCGGCAAGGGCTGTCGGTGCCGACTTTGCGGCGAGAGCAGGCTCGTTGGCCTTGACGGCGAGGGCGCCCGGCCGGAGCTGGGCGTTGCCAAACAGCTTGTCAAACTCGTCAAAGTCCTCGTCCGAGTCAAGCTCCTCGCCCCAGGGCGATGTGGTGTCGGGCTGAGCGTCAGGCAGGAGCGTCATGAGGTTGGCCTTGGACGGGCGGTCGTAGTCGTCGCCGAGGAGGTCAAAGTGGTAGGCGTCGCGGTCGGGAGCGGCGCCAGGAAAGAGCGCCGGCGGCTTGTCATCAAGGTTGAGGCCGGCTGCCGACGGCGGTGCGGCGTGGGCGTCGGGATCGTGCTTGCATCGCAGGCAGAGGGCCACAACCTTGGAGCCAAAGTAAGCCGAGCAGTCGCAGAGGCGGCAGGGGAAACCGAGGCGCTCCTTGGCGGCGACTTCCGAGTCGACCCTGGCGGTGGGTGGGCGACGAAAGGCGGCGACGGTGGCGGCGCGGGCCGAGGCCGAGCCCATCGAGTCGGCGCCCGGGGCGGCGGCAAAGATCTCGCCGAGGTTGTCGGCGAACCACTCGCGCATGGCGTCGACAACCAGCCGCGAGATCCCGAGGTCGCTGGGTGAGTAGCCACGCTGAAGCGCGTATACCAGATCCTGCACCTCATCGTAGTCGTTGCTCCGCAGCGTCGCCAGCCACTTGGCCGCCTTTTCCACCGGCTTGTTGAGGGCGTTGGCAATGGTGTTGACAAAGGCTTCCAGATCAAGGTCGCCGAGCGGTGAGGTCGAGACCAGATCGTCGTCAACCAGCTCGCCGTCGCCTTGGCCGTCACTCCCAGCCCCGCCATCTCTGTCAGGAGCAGCAACCGAGCTCGCCGGCACCACCGCCGGATCAAACGAGATGGTCCGCTTCTTGCGTGGCGGAATGGAGCGAGTCCTAGCTTCGGTTGCGTCGGCCTTGGCCTTGGCTGTGTGCGGCGCCTTGGCCGTCTCTGGCACCTTGACCTTGGATCGCGAGTGAGCGGTGGTTGCGGCCACGTAGTTGTCCGGGAGAAGGCCCGACTCTCCTGTGAGGAGCGAACGGATGGCGAGCCAACCAGGAGACGGCGTGTCGAGGACGACGAGCAGGTCGCCCTTCTGGACGGAGAGTTCGTCGTCGGCCTTGGCAGTGTAGGTGTAGAGGGCGTGGACCTGGGTGTTCTTGACAAAGGCAGTGGAAGGGGTGGGGGTGGAGGGGGTGGAGGGGGTGGTGCTGGTGGTGCTGGTGGCGGTGGTGGCGGTGGTGGTGGGAGCCTTGGCGTCGGTGGCCGTGGCGTCGGCAAAGGGCGCGGCGGTGTCGGCAAAGAGGTCGTCCATGGCGTCCTGCGCCCCGCCGTCCTTCCACCATTCGTCTGCCATGGTGGGGTGGGGTGTGGGCAGGGGGGAGGGGGGAGGGGGGAGGGGGAGGGGGGGAAGCGGGGGGGGGGGGGGGGGGTTACGACTTGTCAGGTCTGTCACGTGCTGCAGGGAAGGGCGATACCGGGCATGGGGGACAACGACGGGGGACACATATGTGTTGCTACATCAATGGCGCCCACAGGTAGGCACAGAGTTCAATGAATCACCGCACCAAGACCACGGGCGAGAAGCTGGAGAGCTTCTTACTCCTGCTGCTGCTCAGCAACCTGGCCGCCGTACGGGTAGCCGCCGAACTGCGGGTAGCCGTAGCCGAACTGCTGCGGGAAGCCGCCGAACTGCTGCTGCTGCGGGAAGCCGCCGAACTGCTGCTGCTGCGGGAAGCCGCCGAACTGCTGCTGCGGGTAGGCGAACGAGCCGAACTGCTGGGTCGGGAACTGCTGCTGCTGCTGCTCCTCGGCACCGTAGAAGGCCGGGGCACCGAAGCCAGCGCCGAAGAACTGCTGCTGCGGGAAGCCGAACTGCTGCTGCGGGAAGGCGAACTGCTGCTGCTGCTGCTCGTAGCCGGAGCCGAACTGCTGCTGCGGGAAGCCGCCGAACTGCTGCTGCGGGAAGCCTGTGATGCTCAGCCAAAGAAAGGAGTGTGAGTCTGCTCCGCCACAGCATATTTTTGCGGTGCGAGGTGGAAATCATACAAAATGCCGCCCAGCCCATCGCCAGCCCGCCACCCGCCACCTCGGCCGGCTGAATTTTTTGGGCCGTCGGTCGCAGTGTGATGACGTCCCATTGTCGCGTAGCCAAAAAACTTGCACATCCGCGACCGCGACCTGTGCGACCAGCTGCGCGTCTGCGGGCATACGCCGGTGCAGGGACTGCAGGGTGGTGCAAGGGAGGGATGAAGGTGTGCAGATGGTGGCTGCAGTGGGGGGGAGAGAGAGCTTGGTGGGAAGCCAGTGGAAGTGGGCGGGGCGGGGCGGGAGGGGGAAGGGCGCTGGGCGCGAGAAAATGCGATGGTTGCAAAAACGCGGCGGCACAGAGTCACAAGGGGGGAGGGGATACTGCGTACCGTAGCCGGGGAAGCCGCCGAACTGCTGGCCGTAGCCGTAGCCGGGGAAGCCGAAGCCAGGGTAGGCCGGGGCGGCCGGGGCGGCCGACGAGGTCGAGGACTTCTTCGACTTCTTGGTCTTCTTGGACGACTTGGAGGACTTCTTCGACTTCTTCGACATGATTAAATGGAGTAAGGGGGTGCGACCCAAAATAGCCAAAACACCCGACGGCATTGGGCTCGTTTCGACACGAGTGGCGGCGGAATGCGATTCGACAATTCGCTCCGCAAAGAGGTCTCGAGCTGCCTCGACGACTTTCAGTGCTAGCTACAACACTCTCGGTTGCCGGCCGAGCTGTGGCTCGCTCTGCTGGCTCGACGGCTTGACATTTCCTCGCATATATTGTGCTGACCATCTTTGCCAGCGCATTGTGCCAATTGGCACGGTCAGCCGCGTGTACGTGATCGTCCATCGATGGCTCGCGGGCACCCGTCGTCGTCGTCGCGCATCGTCATCAGAAAGGGTGAGCGGGTGGGATTCCGCTCCGTCGGAGCCGACTGTGTCGACGCCGTCAGAGCTCTTAGCAAGGTACGGTGTCAGCCGCTTCGCTTCGCTCAGCCGGCCGCGAGTGTTAGCGACTCGTAGCAGTCGCGGCAACACTGGGCGTACGTGCACATTCTCGTCGAGCTGCACACAGACGTCGCGGGCGAGATCGCCGCACTTGGCGATCCATGCATCGGCATTCCCGTGGAGCAGCTGTCGCCCGCCACATCGGGTGGAGCGGCGTGGGAGTGTTTGAACTGCAAATGGGCGTGGCGACGGGCCGCATGGCTGCAACGAGCGAGGACTTGTCCGACGCGCTTGATGCTTGGTTTACAAGCTACTCGCCCGTGACGCGGGTGCATATGCCGGGCGGAGTCACAAAGTTCTTGAGTGTTCGCCACGCGGTGCTCAGGTTGGACTCTGGAGCGATGGGCGTGAGATAGTCGGGCAGGTGCTCGGGCTCGTCGATGCGGAGCATTGCGACTGTGTCGAGGATGGGAAAGTCCCAGGGCTTGAGGATGATGAGTGCGCAAAACGCGACAAAGGCCAGGCATGATGCTGTAGCAAGCATGCTCCACATGACCACAGCGGGCGTGGAGTTGTCGCGCAACGTGCATAGCGAGCCGAGCGAGTTGCTGCTGCCAAAGGAGTCGATGATGTACGTGATAAAGGCGAGGGTGAAGAGGACGACATCAATGATAATCGGCACCGCCAGGCGCCAGAGGCGTGAGAAGAGAACGTGCAGTGCGTAGCATGTGTTTCGGCCTGCAGAGCGCATGGCTGCAAGCGGGTTGTTGCCCGCAAAGTCGCGCTCGTCGGCGACGAGGCCGAGCGTGAGGTAGACCCAGGAGAGGATTGTGAGGAGGAGCTTCTTGCCGAGAAAGAGAGCGAGGCCGACGACAATCGAGTATGACTCGAACCCCGAGGCCAGTATGTTGCGCGACGAGTTCAGGCGAATCAGCTCGTTGCGCGGCGACGTTGTGGCGTTGAACGCCACACACAGCTGTCGTTTTCTGATGCCCTGGCGACCCAAGAACAGGATCTCATTTGGCTCGAGTGAATCGCACGTCTCCGTCGACGTCGCGGATTCGCAGGTGAACGACGCAGCGTCCACATGCGCAAAGAACGCATCTCGCGACACTAGCGCCGGGTGCTCGTCGCGGGCAACCGTGGCGTGGTAGGCGCAGAGGAGCGTGGCGATGACGAGGAGCTGGCCCATGAGAATGAGCGACTCGGAAAAAGCCTGGCGAAACGCCCCAAGGCGCACAGCAATGTCCTCTGTCGCCCGCGATCCGTATGGCTCGCGCTGCGGCCACGCCTGCGTGAGCGCGTCCGATGCCATGGTTGCCGCCTCGTGCGACGGCGCCACCAGCGAGAGCCGCGGCGTCTCCCGCATCACCTCCTTGCGCTCGCTCGCCGTCAGAGCTGCGCGCTGCTCTGGCGTCATGAAGGCAATGGCGAGCGGCCGCACATTGCGCTGCCGGTAGCGGGCAGGCGCCGCGTCGTTTCCCGCTTCCCCTCCCACGTCCCTCTCCTCTCCCAGAGTATCGAGCTCCACCTCTTGCGGGTCAACTTCTTCTGTGGCGTCCATTCCGTACGTCGAGCTGAGTTTAGGCCGTCATCGCCACACAGCTGGCTGCTCTATCGTCCAGGCGAAAAAGTCGCGGAACGCTGCGCAATTGCTCTCTCTCTCTCTCTCTCGCTCGCTCGCTCGCTCTCTCGCTCAGAGGGCTTGCTCAATCGAATGGCGGCATCATGGCAGGATGATGTCAACCGGCACATGTCCGAGTCAAAGACAGAGCGTGAGGCCATCACGGCGCGTGTGGAGCAGCTGGCGACTGGTCTCTCGGCTGCCGTCGAGCTCAACCGCACGTACGCCGACAAGATCGCCACCTGCGAGACGCACATCGAGGACCTCGCGAAAAGACTCGAGGCGCTATTTGCCTCCGCGCCGCCCTTTACCGCCACCGACAAAAAGAACCTCGACGAGGTCGCAGCCATCCGTGGCACCATCAACACCATCCGCCGCGAGCTCAACAAGGCCTCGTCGTCGTCGTAGCCACGTGCACCATCCCCCTCCTCATCCCCCAACGAACAAACTATCTCAAAACGTCACCTGTCACTTGCTCTCTGGTTTGAGACGTTTTTGAGCAACCACCACCTTTTCGCCGCGCTGCCTCCCTGTTTGCAGCCGGCGCCACCACTCGTCAACAGACCAGAGCAGCCATGGGCAAAAAGACAAGCGTCGGCAGGCGTCGTCAAGCTCGAGAGCAGGCGCGAGGAGGTCGCGTGAGGGCAGGAGCGGCTCGGACTCTGGATCGGGCTTCGACGATGCGGGCGGCGGCGAGGCCCTCGGGTCTGTGCGGTTGGTGGAGCAGACGATGCGAGTTGTGGGCAGCGATGGCAGTGCGAGCGACACAGGCGATGTACAGTCGGCACGGATGCGGGCACTATCGCGGGTGCGAAGCGCGTCGGTGGTGCAGCCGGCGGTGGGTGAGGGTGTGGCTATCAAAGTGGCGAGTGTCATGGGCGAGCTGCTCACGGGGCTAGCCGAGGAGCATCGAGCGTCGTTTTACGACAGCCTGGTGGTGGGCGATGAGATGAGCGTACTCATTGGTGGGGCTGGGCAGTGGACGCTCAACACGGCGTTCGTGGCCCTTCGCGCCGCCAACACCGAGCGCCACAAGCTCGTCGTCCTCATCAAGACGAATGACGAAGTGGCGGCTTCGGTGCTCCTCGCATTCCCGCTGGCCGCAGCAACTAAGCTCATTGCGCCGTACTCCTTCTCCCAGATGGAGGAGCTTGCGCCCGAAGAGGCCCGCAAGATCGCTGCCGAGCTGGGCCCTTTCCCCACCTCGCGCGCCATCGGCCTCGAGTTTTCGAGCAGCAGCCCACTCGGCCCGCATCGGCACACCCTCATCCTCGTACCCTGGCACGCCCCGTCGGCCTTTCGCTGGCTTGTCGGTCTCGTCGCGGCGCTGAAGTTTCGCCCGTCGCTTGCCGAGCGGCCGACTGTGGGCCGGGCTTCAGTGGCCGGTGGCAGCCGGTCGTACACGGGCGGGGCTGTGGCTGCGCGGGCGCTGGCGTGGGGCGGGAGCGCGTTCCATGAGCATGCGGTGCGACATACCGAGGTACTAGGTGACATGCTTGGGACAGGCAAGGTGTTTGGGCGGCCCGTGGTGGATTTTGATGCGCAGCTCGAGCCGGCACGCCATGGTGTCGGCTACTCGCTCCGCGTGGCGACGCATGGCATCGGCGTGGTCGACGACCTGGTGTATCCTGAGCTGCCCCAGGCGGGGATTGAAGATGCGCTGCTCATGCTCGCCGGCTCGCTGCGGCAACGGAAGCGTCGACTCGGGGCCTTTGTGAACAGCATCCACACCCACGATGCCGCGGTGGATGATCCGCCGCGGCTCACGCTTGTCTCGGCGCTGCGTGACGAGATTGTGCGCGCCGAGCTCGAGGAGGCTTTCATCAAGATGCTTGCGGGCACGGTTGAGTCAAATGTGGTAAGAATTGCCGACGTCCTCGTGTCAGCGCCGTGGTTGCTTCACATCCTCTACGTCTCGTACGCGCACGAGGTTGACGCCGGGCCGTCGCTGTTCCGGCGCAGGTCCAGGGCGGTTTGGGGCGGTGCGAGCTCGACCACGCCGGCGACGCTTTGCAGGGGCATGGCGCTCGCCGCGCCCAACGAGCGCAACCCATCGCTGCACCTCCGCGCGGCGCCTTGGGACGTGCACGCGTCGGCTGTGATACCCAGTGCATTGCTGCTCGGCGCGGTGCACAGTGATGATGCCGGAACGTGGGCGCTCTTTGTGACGTCGAACGGGCTCGCTGTCTGCTCGCACAACAAGGCGGTGGCCATCGAGCTGAAGCTCGCCAATGATGGCGCCCGGGCGCTCACATCTCACAGCGTGCTCGCGTTTGCGCCCGCACTAGAGCTTGGTGGTGTGTTTGTGGTGAGCCTCGTCAAGTCGCGGTCTAACGGCGACGTGCGCCGAAAGCGCGTGCTGCGCCTGGAGTTTCTGGTGCTTCAGGTACCACAGGTGCAGAAGAACGGCTCGCTGATGCCGGTCAACATTGCGCAACGCGTTGAGACGGGGACGGGGTTTGCAGTGCACGCGATCGTCAATGAGCTCAAGGGGCCGTCGTTGAGCCTTCCGCGAGGGCTGGCGCCGCCGCTGGTGGCTACCTTCCTCGCACACCGGTCGCTGCTGATGGTGAGCGCGGGTGCCGAGCTGTTTGCGGTGACCATTACGGCGCCGCCGGTGCGCAAGGAGGCAAACATTGCGGGTCACGGCGGCAATGGGGTGTCTGGAGAGTGGCTGCTTACCCTTGCGCTCTCCAACTCGTACTCTTTCGGCGTTCTCCGCGCAATCGGCGCCGACGAAGCGCACACGCCCGACGCTGTGCTGCGGTCCGAGGCGCGCGTGGCGGCGCGCGTGCCCGGAGCCGACGACAACAGCGAGTCGCAACGCGAGCGAGCGTATCCGCATCTCGGCTTTGCGGCGCCGGGGTGGGGCGTGGATCCGTACGATGAAGCCGTCCTCGTGGCAGCATCGCCCGATGCGTGTGTAGGTGCCGCTGTCGGTTCGGCGCAGCTGTACGTTCCATCGCTCGACCTCGTGTTTGTTTACGGCGGCCACTGGATACGGTCGCGGCGCGAGCGTGTACCTGTGGGGAGCCTCTGGACGCTCGACGTGGGGAGCAGCGAGGGCCAGCTCGGGTCGTGGCGACTTGTTCTCGATCATGACGACACTTCGGTTGTGCGCCCACCGCCGATGGCGGCTCCGAGCCTTGCTTTTGCGCGGCACCCGTCGATGCCTACAGCGTCGCTCCTCGTTCTCGCGTCGGGCGGTGTGTCGCCAGCGACGTACGCCGCGCAGCCGTCTGTGGCGTCTGACACGACGTTTGGGTGGCAGGACACAAAGGCGCGCGACGTGACGGCCGCATGGTTTCGCAGCCAGCCGTGGCGGCTGCTCTGGATCTACTCGCCGTACCTGGATCTGTGGTGGGCGGCGCGCCTCGAGCTTGCGCCGTCGCTCATCGAGTCATCGAACAACGTGCTGGACGCGCCGTTTGCCATTCTTGGCATGGACGCGGGCTTTGTCGCGTCGTCGTCGTCGCCGCTTTCCGAGCTTGTGCCGGTGGTCACGCTCGTGGTGGCGGCGCACGAGACGAAGGACGTGCTGCACCTGCGGGTAGAGCTTCCTCATCAGCCGCCGTCGCACCCTGCCACAGGTGCGCTGGCGTCGCTCGCCGGAATGGACGGCGGCCTCGCCACGCGGGCAGGTATCTCACTGACAACGCACGGGATGGACGCTGTGCTAGACTCGCCGCTCTATGCCGTCGACGGGCTGGTGGCGCCAGTCGCAGCCAGCGTTCTCCCGGCGTCGGCGGCAGCGGCGGCGCGTGACCCGCTGTCGCTCGACGTCCATGGAGCACGCCCGCAGCTGGCCGACCTCGGCTTTGATCTTGTGTTTCCGTCGTTCCCGCGCGATGTGCAGCGACTGGTCAACGCGCGCGATGTGGGCGAGCCCGTCTTTGCGGCGCTCCTCGACTCATGGATCAGCGGGCTTGCCAGCTGGGAATCCAAGTCGACGCGCGCGAGCAACGCCGTGATCACGGCCCTGCTGCACTTTGTGGCCGAGTTTGGCTCGGAGCCGCTGTGGGCGGCGTTTTCGTCGCGGACGCGCGCCGTCTCGTTCTCGTCGGCACTGGAGAGTGTACTGGAGGGTGCGCTGGCGTCCCCTGAGGCGTTTGAGGCGTCAAACGTGACATTTGACGACATCGTCCGCTTGGTGGTCGTCCTTGACTCGCTCTCGGCCCGGCTCGAGTTTCACGGCCTCTTCGCGGTCGCAGGCCAGGTGCTCCATCGCCTTCTCCATCTGCGCAACGTCCTTGACGGGAACGTGCTGAGCAACATGGCACGGCCGACGTTGGCCGGCGCGTCCGCATACGTTGCGGCGTCTGTGACGCCATGCGTTGCGGCTTCGCTGCACCTTTCGGGCATCAACGCGGATTTCGAGTGGCTCGATGGACACGGCTCGCCGCTTGTCCTCTACTCGGGGCAGCTGACGCTTGAGATGCGGCGGTTCAAGCGGACGTCGACGAAGGAGGTGCATGCTGTGGTGGTGATGGCGCTTGCGCCTCCAAACCCGCCGAGTGCGTCGTGGCGGCTCACCGCGTGGTTTGCGCTCTTGTTGGCGTCCAGGTCGGAGCCGCTCTTCGTTGCCGCTATCGCACCCGAGGGCCGCACGCCGCCGCTAGTGACCGAGTTTGCCATCGCCCGTGATGGCGGGTGCGTTACGGTAACGCTGGAGGACGAAATGGGCAAGACAGAAGAGTTGGTGCTGAAGGGGCCCAGAACGGCGCTGTCGCTCTTTGAGCGGGCGTTCACCATGGCGTCTGAGACGCTGGCGGCGCGCGAAGGAACGTGGGCCGCGTCGTCGTCGCCGGCCGAGCACTTGCCGTCGTCGCTCGTGCACCAGCTCACGCTCGAGGCTGTGCTCCTCCCCACGATTGGCGCAGCGCGCCCCGAGTTTGTTGTGGCGACAGTGCACGCGTCGCGTGAGGCCGGCGACTACCTCCTCGCGCGCTCGCACGTCGACACACTGTTTAAGGCCGCGTGCGTCAAGGCGAGCGCGGCAAGCGCGGTCCTCCGGTTCGCGTATGACGTGGTGCTGCCGCTTTCCGGTGTCCCGTCGCTCCGCGCTAACCTTTTCTCGTCGGCTGATCATGGCGCGCGTGTGCAGCGGGCGCGTGTCGAGGTGGTAGCCAAGCATCTCCGGCCGAGCGGGCTCGACCCGCGGCAGGAGATGTTTTGGACGTGGGTGGGTTGGGCTGGTTTCACACTCTTCCACGTGGCCGAGCGTCCGCATGCGCGCGTACTCCTTCCCGTCCTCGTTGCTGTGGTGGGAGTCATCAACCTGTATGGCGATCTTGACGACGCAGAGAAGGAGGACACGCTCGGCGCGCTGCGCGCCGCGCAGGAAGGCAACGCCGTCGCGCATGGGTGGCCTCTTGCTTGCTACACTCAGCTGAAGAAGAACGAACGGGCGTCACTTGCCAACAAGTCGTTCATCGACGTGGACGAGGAGGCGTACTCATTTTCGGACGAGGACACCGAGACGGCAGTCAAGTCGCGGAGCAATGGCGGCGAGGGCGGTGGGCCATCACGGCCGCAGACTCCGGTCGCTCTCGACGAGGACGAGGATGAGCTGCTGAGCGCGGATGCGCGCGAAGCTGTGCTTGTGCGAATGTTTGCCGCGCTGCAGTCGTTCGGCAAGCCGCTCCTTGATGCGGCGTGGGAGTACGTGGTGTTTGTGGTCTCATCGACGCGGGCAATGGCTCGTCTCGGCGATCTGGTGTGCTTTTGGGCGTGCCTGAGGTTTGTGCGATTTGTGGTGGAGGACACCACGCTGCCCGCTGGATTGAGGGACAAGCATGAGGCGTTGCGGGGCACGTTCTTTGGTGAGCGCGGAGAGTCGGGCTTGTGGCAGTTTGCGCGATCGCTCCCGCACGTCTCGCTGCTCGAGCGCGCGTTTGAGGCGAGCAAGTACGACGCGCTTGCCGAGCCCGAGGTGTGTCGGGTGGGTGGGGAGATTGTGGAGCGCGCGGCGGGCGAGGCGTGGTGCCTCGCCGAGGCGATGGTGACGTCGCTCGACTTGGAGCCGCTGGTGGGGCGGGTGACAGCGCACCTTTCCGAGCTCTTGCAGACGTTGCGGGTGCTTGACGCGCACAACGTGCACAGGCTTTCACTCGACAAGAAGGCAGGCGCGCTTGCAACGGCGCGCAAGGTGTCGAAAAATAGTGTCACGCCAGATGTCTGCCATGCCGCCGTGAGCGCGGCGAGCAGCGCGCTCAACGTGATCGACTTTCTCGTCGGACAGGTTCTCCGCGACGAGCGGAGCATGGGGCGGCTTCTCTCGGCAAGCAATGTGGAGACGCACGCGCCCAAGCTCACGTCACGCCTCGAGACCAATGTGGCGGTTGTCAAGTCACTGAGCGGGAGCGAATCGCTGTTGTCTTCCGACGTGGGAAAGCACCTGGCGTCGGGTGCACTTGCGGAAGAGGAGGCGCGGCGACACGGGGCCGATTTCGGGACACGGACGTGGGTTGATGCCCGTTCGGTGGAGGCACAGCAGATGCAGCGAAACGCGACTGTGGGAGCGGGGCGCGGGCGCGCCGATACGGTGGACGCGATGCTGGGCGTCTCGGTCTCGTCGACGGTGCAGGCGTCGCTCTCGAGCGACCTGGTTATGGGCATGGGTGAACGACACATGATCGGCTCGTGGCTTGTTGCGTACACCAAGGTGGTGGCGGTCATGACAGATATGCTGTCCAACGTGAGTGATCACGTGGTGGAGTACGGGTGCAACGTGGCGAGCGTCAACTACGCCCGGGTGCCTGCTGGCAAGAACGGGAGGCGCAAGGCAAAGGCAGTGCGCCGCACGACTGAAGAGGCGCTGGATAGGCACACCGGGCTCATGGCATCGCAGATGCGTGAGGATGCCGAGCGAGTGCTGGCGCCGGCCAAGGCGTTTGTGGCCACCGTGTCGACGTGTATCGAGTCCCTCAACGGGTGCGTGGACGAGCTCGTGGCAAACCCGCGGTTCCGCGACTTGCCGCCCGTGGGCGCGGCCAAGGCGAAGATGATCGACTCGCTACTCAGATCCGGGCTGACGCTCGAGCACGAGCTGGAGAGCGGGACGGACTCGTTTTGAACGCGCTGGAAGCGCTCTCGGCGGTAGTGGTGGGGGCGTTTGGGCTGGGCCGTGCGGTGGCGTCGTGGTTTTCGCTTATTTGGGACACGGAGCGGATGACGCGGCTGAACGAGGACGAGGCGCGCGAGCTTGTGATTCAGACGGCGCAGTCGACGCTTGCTGCTGTGCATCCGGTGTCGGGCTTTATCGGCGCGCTTGACGGCGTGCGGCGTATTGCGGTGCAGGGTGTGGAGCTGTGGCAGGCTGGCGTGCAGCGGCATGTTCCGCTGCTGGTCAATGCCAGCTTTGTGCGGCGCGAGCTTGGCGAGTGGCGGACGCATGCGCTCCGGTGGTCGGTACTCGGGCTCGCACTGGCCAGTGGGCTGGATGATGTGGCTGCGCGCAACGAGTCGCTACGGAGCGTGATGTCCCAGCTGGCTTCGGAGGATGTGCTCCTCCTCTTTGTCTCGCTCATGGAGGATGACGCTACTGCGTTTACGCTCGACAAGCTCATTGCGAGCACGGCCGAGTTTACAGTGTTTTGGAGCTCAGTCAAGCGTGGCGTGGAAGCTACTGAAGCACTCTGCTCGGTGTTGGAGGAGACGATGAGCGACGTCGTGATGCTCGCCGTGGACGCACTCGACGAGTTTGCAGCCCAGCTGAACGGATGGGTGTCGGCAAGCATGAATGCTGAGCAGCATGGCCGCGCTTTGAAGCCTCGCCTCGATCTGGATTCGTTTTCGGACGCGGTGAAGACAGGGATGCAGCGGCTGCTCACGCTTGCGGCTGCGGCGTGTGACGCGAGCGGAACGTTTGGGTGCGATTTGTCGCTGCCTGCGGCGTACGCGGCGCTCTCCTGCTATGTCCCGCCGTGGTTAATCAAGGACGGGGCGGCGATTCTTGCAATGGTGGAGGAAAACGTGGCGTCGTTTGCGGGAGGAGCGAGCGTGGACGCGTTTGCGTTTCGCCAGCTGGTGGCAGCGGCGCGCGCGACGCGGCTGCAACATGAGACGCTTGGTGACGATGTGGGCTTGGCGCTCCCCGAGATGCGATACGTGCTCGACGCGGCGCACGTGACGATGGACGGCCGCTCGCCCGGCTTCCTGCTCCTGCACCGCGAGCGCGGTGACGACGGCAACGGCAAGGTGGTTGTACTTGCATTTGTGCTTACAAACGAGTTGACTACCGGCCTGGCCATGCTCAACTCGGCGACAGCCACCATCCGGCCACCCGGGTCGGACGCCGAGTATTTGGTGCAAGCAGCGTTGCACGAGATGGTGTGCGGCATGGTGCCGCTCCTCCGCAGCGAGCTGGAGAGGGCCAACTTGCTGGATGAGGAGGGCGAAGAGCCGGTGACCCTGTTTGTGACGGGCCATGGGATTGCCGGCGGTGTGGCGCAGATTGTGGCGCTCGTGCTAGAGGCGCGCTTGTACGATCTGCATTTGGCACACCACGTCAAGCTAGTCTCTGCCTCGTTTGGTGCACCTGCCGTGATGCGGCGGATAGGCGCGGATGAGACCAAGTCGTGTCTCAAGCGCCACGTCTCGGTCGTTAACGAGTGCGACGCCGTGCCGCGGCTCCTTGTGGAGGGGAGCATGATGCGGTCGGTGCTGAGCAAGTTGGCATCAAGCACGGAGGAGCGCGAGCTGCAGGTGTTTGGGGTGTTTGACGCGCAGGTGCAAGAGTACGACATGACAGGCAGCATCCTGCTCCTCACGCGCGAGTCGAGTGCGTACATGGCGAGTGGCGCCGGAGAGCGGGCATGCTTGACCACCTTTGTGCCGCTGGCCGCGTTTCTGGCCGATCCGCTCGTGGTGGTGAGCGACAACAAGATGGCGGTTTACCTCACGCGTGCGCTGCGCTACCTCTGATGGCGCTCGTTGCGAGCGCAACAAGCGAGACCTCCTGGCGGATGGGTGGAAAGAAGTAAAGGTATGAGAGAACGAAGAAGACGACGAGCTTGTAGAGGATTTTGAGGAGCTCGTTGTGCGGGAGCATTTCGCGGAGCACGCGGCCAGCGTTGATCGGGTCAGGAAGGGGCCCGACGAGGGCACGGATGCGGGGAATGAGCGGTGCTGGAAGTGCAATGAGCGCGGTCTCGAGACCGCGCTTGATGGCGGCGGCGCTCTCTTCGGACGCGTAGGTGGCGACGACGAGCACGGCGTAGCCGAGGCCGGCGATGAGCTGGCCAACAAGCGGCAGCGTTTCAAATACGAGGAAGAAGACGGCGATGGTGATGTCGAGCAGGTAGACGCTCGATGAAACAACGCTACATGCTGCCGAGTCGGGCGAGGCGAGCGTCGAACAGGAGGCGTTGCGCACAAGCTGGGCCGCAAAGAGGAGGATGGAGACGGCGAGGTAGCGGAGTGCGGTGGCGCGGATGAGAGTGTTGAGAAGGTCGAGACTGGCGATGACATGATCGGCAGCGACTTGCATGGTGGATGAGGAGATGGTGACGGCGCGTCGGATGCAGGTGTTCATGGCGGCGTCGACAAAGCGGGCGAGGTGCTTAGTGTGCAAACGGAGGTCAGAGGCGGTGGATGTGGTGGCGGAGACAACGTCCATGGGGCTCGCGCCGCTCCCGGCCATCGGCACACAGAGCGCCTGCATGGCAAGTGCCGTGAGCTTTGTCGTCATGGCGGGATCGGCGCCTGTGCACTGCTCGATGGCCGGCCGCAGGAGCGAGGAGACCAGTGCTGCCGAAGTGGCGTCCACACCGGCCGGCGCCACCACGCCACGCGACGCACCCGTCTCACAGGCGGGCTCGGCTTCTGTGGACGCCGCGTTGTACGCCCGCCACATCGTCATCAGGTACGATGTTTGCGGCGCACCAGGCGTCGCTGTCGGCGACGAAACCGCCGCAGCTGGCGAGGCAGCACTGGCAAACGAGGACATGCGAGTGGAGTAGAGGTGGGACGGCGGTCGGTATTATTTAAGCACGTGGTTTTTGAGTTGAGCATTTCAGCTGAGCGCCTCGCTTCGCGTGCTGCTCTACAATTGAGCAGCACACGAGAGCAAATGGGCTTGTTGCGGGAAGGCGGGAGACGGGCAGCAGCGAGGTGAAGTCGAGTAGAATACGCACTCTACTCTGCTGCTGATAAGGGAGTCGCGACGTCGAGGCGATCCAGGGCTAAACGCTGAGCTCTTTGCAAGCCTAGCGAGGCCGCGAGGTATTTTCCTGAGCCAAGCCGCGTCTTGTGGAGCGCAGGGGTGGCATGCGAGGCAGACGACCCGCGGCGGCGAGTCAACGGGCAGACCAAGATCGAGGTGATAAGGAGGAGGATGAAAAGTGGATGCGTGCGTACTTTGCCAACCGGCGGGAGCGTGTCTCTGTGGGTGTGCGCGCGAGCGCGAGCGTGAGTGTGATGACGGTCGTGGCGGGAGATGGCGGAGACGAGGAGGAGGAGGAGGGGACTGGCGACGAGGGCACGACACCGATGGTGACGACGACGACAAGCACGAGGGTAGTGCATCGATCGAGAGGGGTTCCGGAGGAGGAGTACGACGAAGGTGATGAGTCTGCACTGAGCATAACGCCTGGCCCGTCATCCGAGCCGCCGGTGCAAAAGGCACCCGTTGTCGATCCCGGGCCGATTCCGCACGCGCTCTCGATGTGGGGCAACTTTCACATTTCGGTCTCGCCACTGTTGCGTGTGTATGGGCACGGCAAGACAACGTCGGGTCTCGAATGTGTCACGCTTGGCCAGCTCGAACTCGACACGGAGAACGCCGAGCTGTACGGCACAATCCGCCTCGTCTTTGATCCCGAGCTGGGACGTCCGCCCATTCTCGTCAACATCCGCACGCCCGTTCCGCGCAACACCATTCTCGGCGAGCACTTGGAGTGATGCGGTAGGGCACCGTTGGCGTTCGAGCCCGGTGCGAGACAAATTGAAACAATGAAGCTGATCAATGGTTTCACGCACGTGTGAGAGTAGGTGGTTGTGTGGCTGTGGCTGTGGGCATGGGGATACAGATGCGCTGGCGGAGCTCACGAGCTCAAAGGTGCCAAAAAAGGGCTCGTTGCGGGGCAGACTTTTCTCGAGCGGCGTAGGCAGGTATGAGCACCTTGGCGTCGCGAGCAGTAGGGGACGGTGCACGGCTTCCTGGTAACTTTGTGGCGCTTGTGGAGAGTGGCCAGTGGCAGGAGGCGCTGCGGTCTTCGCCGTCGGTGGAGGCGACGGTGGAGGAGGGCGTCGGTGAGCATACCGGGGCCACGCCGCTGCTGGTGGCTCTCGCGGTAGGAGCGTACCCCCTCTTCCGCAACCTCATCCATTTTCGGGCAGACGTGAACCATGCAAATCGGGTGACCGGCGTGACACCGCTCAACGCAGCGCTCGAGTATGTGGGAGCTGGCAAGTCGAAGAAGAAGCGGTTCAAGTTTGTCGCACACATCCTCGAGAGAGCGCTTTTGGCGGCACCGGCAGAGGTTCTCAAGCAGGCGGCCGAGACAGATACGCGCATGCTCAAGGCGAACATGGGGAGCGATGAAGCGATCAAGTATATGGCGCTCCCGCTGGTGATCGCAGGTGTCAAGGAGAATGCGCTGATGCGTGGCAAGGGCCTGTGGCGGCGGGCGCTGGCAGGCCTGGTGACGCAGGCGGCGGTCGAGGAGTGGCACCGGGCGGTGAAGGATGTGGTGTCGGAGGCGATGAGGCGCGAGTATCCGGCGAGCGTGGTGGCTGCGGAGGAGGCGGGCGATGGCCAGAGTGGGTGCTTGCGCGACGTGGACATGGCGATGAGCGGCATGACGACGGGAGACTTTCTCAAGTGGTTGGCCAAGGAGCAGACGTGGGCAAACGTGATCGGGTACGTGGCAATGTTCATCAAGGCTTACAACTTTGCGGCAGCCAAGGGTGTGCTCAAGTGGGCGGAGGAACACGCGAACGAAGTTGACGGCGAGCTTGAGAAGCCGGCGCTGACAAAGGCGCTGGTGTGGCTTGCGGAGCAGGAGTTTGTGAGCGCCGAGCACGGCAGGTTTGCAAAGCCGATTGCGGGGTCGCTGATTCGGCTGGGTGCGAAGATCTCCGGGTCGCGCGGGCAGGCGTCTGTGGTGTATGTGGCGGCCAAGTCTGGGCAGAACCCCATTTTCGACGCCATTCTGGAGCACGTGCGGAAGCAGAGCAAGCTGGCCGGCCTCGGGGCTACGACGGCATGGAAGCGACTTCGCGATTTGATGAGCGAAAAGTTTGACGGGAAGAACGTGCTGCAAGTGGCCAAGGCGGCCGGGAACCCTGCGGTGTGCACCACGGTGGAGCACATCTTTGAAGAGGCCGGTAAGTGCCGCGAGGAATCAGGCGCAAGCGTCGACGGGAGCAAGATCGTGGCGGCGTTTCGTGAGGGGGCCGTGAAGGGAGCGACAGCGATGTGGTTCGGCTCTTCAACAAGCTCGTGAAGACAGCGTCGGTGCGTTTTGCCGGCCTGCGCGCCACGGTGGGCTTTGGGCGGCGCGACGGCGCGATCCCGGTCCTGACCTCTGCGTCAAATCGTGACACAAAGTGGGGCCTCAAAGCCCGGCTGGATGCAATTGTACTTCCGGCGCTGCGTGCTTTGAGTTGCGGGCTGACCGACGACGATACCGAGGTGCTCGAGGCGCACGTGACGGCGCTCTACTACGTGGTCAACTTTGCGGTGGGCACCGGCCCCAACTTGGACCCGCTCGTCCATCGGCCGTCGTTCGGAAGGACAGCGCAGTGTGTGCTCATGCTCATCAACGAGCACAATCTGCATCTCAACTCGCTGGAGCCGCTGGTGGGTAAGTGCCAGGAGGCGTTGCTGGCGAGCTCGGGTGTGGTGGCGCTGCCGTCGGTGACCTTTTGAGCGGTTGGTAGAGACAAAAAAAGCGATACGTTTACGTGAGCGCGCGGCCTGCATGTCTAAATGGGAGGCACGACGTCCATGGCCATGAGCTCCGAGAGGGGCATGACGTTCAGAAGGATCTCCTCGACCATCTCCTTGAGGTCCTCAAAGTCGGCGTCGGGATCGTCCTCAGTACGCTTGACGTACGCGTAGAGCATCTTGAAGGCCAGGAGGCAGTTCTCGCGCTGGTGCTCAAAGTAGAGCTCGACGGCCGAAGGAACAGCGTTGTCGCCGCAGGCGTATGAGGCGAGGACGTAGATGAAGGTGAGGGTCGGCGCAAAGAGCGGGTCCTCGGCCGTGTTGAACGTTGCCTCGTTGTTGATGCCCATGAGGCAAAGGGTGTCGATGGACGACTTGAGCTCCATGAGGTTCATCTTGGTGGCAGCCTTGGGCTTGCCGTTGCTGCCCATGGGGAGGCAGATGGGGAGCGGAGCCTGGAGCAGCTTCTTCTGGTACTTGATCTGAACAACGCGGTAGAGCTTGCGGAGGACCTCGATGACGGCCTCGGCCTTGGCGGCCACCTCCTCGTCGATGACGAGCGAGACGTTGACGTTGACAGCAGCGTTGACGGCCATGATGATGGTTCGGACGAGGGAGTTGAGTGGGTGTCCGTGGCAAGGTGCTCTACTTTCTTGCTCTCGGCGTCTTTTCGTTGGTTTTTTTTTCGCAGCCAAAAAATGCTTGCTCTCGCGCTCTCACGCTCTCGTGCTCTCGCTCTCGTGCTCTCGTGCTCAAAAGCGTACTCAAAGAGCGAAAGAGCAAGACGCCGGCGCATTCTCGTCTCTCACTCTTTCTAATCATGGCGTCCAAGCTCAAGGGCAAGTCGGTGAGCGTTGCATCGGTGAGCGCGGCCGTGACTGTCAACGGCGTCGATATGCCTGTTACCGTCACCTGGTCGTCGGGCCCTGTGCGGCAGATGCCGCCCAAGCGCGAGCTCATCATGGCGTCGCCGGCTGATCTGGAGCAGACGCTCGAGGAAGAAATCGCCAAGGCGCTCGCGCGCGATGAGACGGCAGACTCGCTCAAGGGCGAGGTGGTGGCCATGGTGGAGGAGAGCAAGGCGGTGGCGGAGAATGGTGCGGCTGCAGGGGCTGCGGTGGATGCGGCGCCCGATGCGACGGCAAAGGTTGCAGCGCTGGAAGAGATGCTGGCGGCCAAGGACGAGGAGATCCAGCGGCTGGTGGCGCACGCTGAGAAGCTCGGCCAGGTCGTCGCCGACTTTGAGGCCGCCGACGCCGAGCACATCAAGGCGCTCAACGACGTCAAGCAGCTGTCGGTGCAGTTTGCGGTGCAGCGTGAGCTGCTTCAGGCGCGCATCGAGCAGCTGGAGGGCCAACTCGCCGAAGCGACGGCCAGCGCCGAGCCCGCGGAAGCCGCTGATGCCGTCGCTGCCGCTGATGCCGTCGCTGGCGATGCTGGTGACGCTGCCGGTGCTGGCGACGCTGCCGGTGCTGGTGACGCTGGTGACGCTGCCGGTGCTGGTGACGCTGGCGACGCTGCTGCAGAGAACAAAGAGGAGAAGGTTGTGGAGGATGGCAGCAAGGCCGGCGAGGCTTCCGCCGACGACGAGGCCACGTACTTTAGCAAGCTCTCGTCGTGGATGGCGATGAACAAGAAGTAGGGTTGGTAAAAGGAGACATTTTTGGTCGCTCGACTTCAGCACCTGCTTGAGCCACGAGCTCGGCTTGAGAGCGCCAGTGAGCCGCCGGAACACCAAAAACTCGTCTCACCCTCCTCATGACGATGGACGACAGTGCGGCAGGAGCGTCGACGGATGGAGGATGCGTAAAGGTGATGCAGCGTGTCTTTCGGACGGTGCGCGCCAAGTACCAGCGAGTCGTGCTCGAGGCCGACTTTGCAGTTGGCTTGCCGGTGGAGGAGGGGCCGTCAGGGCGGCCGCGGTTTCTCCGCGTGGACGAGTTGGGCATGGAGGAGATGAAGGCGTACATGGACACGATCTACTACCTTTTGGTGGGGACCGAGGCAGTGAGCGAGAAAGACGACAACGAAGTGTTGACGGCGCTGTTCATGGTCATGACGTATGCGGCCGGAGACACGGTGCCCGGCCTTGAGGAGTTTGTTGAGAGTGACGACGAGTTTGTCGTCCGGACGTGCGCGTACGCAAGGCGGGTGCTACGCGAGGTGAACGGTGACGGTCAGCTGAATGCTGTGTTTAGTGTGCTGTGGGACGGTGTGGAGAAGGTCGGCATCCGTCAAGCCGGGCTCGACGAGCTCATCGAGGTACGCGAGTTTGTTCTGGAGCTGTGAGGCGTCATGGCCGAGCCGCGAGCTCGGCTTCAAGAGCACGGATGCGAGCGCCGCGCTTCTCGACCTCGGCGTGCTGCATCGTGATGAGCTCGGTGGCCTTAGCCTGCATCGACTCGCGCTCGGCCACTTCGGTCGCCAGCCGTGCCTCCAGCTCGGCGACGCGCGCAACAAGAGCATCGTGCTCTTCGCGCGCTTTGGTGGCCATCGCATCACGCTCGGCGGTGACGGCGGCAAGCTCCTGCTCGAGCTTGGCGATGCGCGCGGCCGACGTTGCCGAGCTGGCCGAGTTGGCCTCGGCCAACGCCGCCGAAAGGGCCGCAACCTTGGCTTCCAGCTGGGTGACCTTGGCCCGCTCCACATAGAGTTCGTAAAGACCATCAGGCACACCCTGGAGTGCAGTAGGAGGAGCCGACGGGGAAGAGGCCAGTGCGGGCGTCGCGTCCGGCGTGAGCATCGCTGCAGCTTTCTGTCGAACGAGCGCCGCGAGCATCTCCGCGGTCATCGACGGCGCCGCCGCCGATGAGGGCGTGGTCTGATCCGGGACCGACGCGGGGTGGGCGGCGTCGGTCTGGGCGCCCGGCAGCATTGACATCATGCTTGACCACCACGATGTGGGCGGCGGAGGGGGGCCAGGCGGCGCCGCGGCGCCGGTTGCCGACGGCGTGTCTGACACGGGGACAGGCTGGCTCCCCGTCACACTCTTGAGCATCGACTGCTCAAACGAGGCGAGCATGGTCTCCCACGTGCTCTCAGACGGAAGCAGCTGGTCCGCGTTCTGCATGATCAAGCCCTGCAGCAGCGAGGCGAAATGAGACGTCTGGGCACAATGTTGCCTGTGTGAGATGATGTGCCAGATGGGGGGTCATGCGAGGCCATGCGAGCCTGTGCGGGCCAGCGCGCCGAGAGCGGGGACACGTACCGGGCCCATGGCAAGGGGGAGGACGGTGGTAGCAGCAACGCGGAGTGCGCCTGCAAGAGGTGCACTTACCTGTGCAGGGTTGGCCGTGCCCGATGGTGGGGGAGGGGCGGACATGGGGAAGGGGGATGGGGGGGGGGGGGGGGGGGGGAGGAGGACGGCCTGTCGGGAACAGTGGACGGGAGAGGAGAAATAGAGAACCTTGCTCAAACCTTGAGGCTGCGGATCCGAAAGGCCAGCCCTAGACCCAAGTCGTGCAAGCCATCACTCGTCGTGCAAACGACAGGCATTATGAACTTTATGAAGAAGATGTCGTCACAGGTGGTCGGGGCGGTGAACGGGGTAGTGGGAAAGGTTACAGGCACAGACAAGGCCAAGTGGCGGACGGCGGTGAACGAGTCGGTCAGCGAGGACGTGGCGTGGCGAAGCGAGATCAACACACGGCTGGACGCTCTAGACAACGAGCTCATGGTGCTCATGACTACGTTCGACGGGATAGACGCCAAGCTGGCGGTTGTGAGCGAGACCATCGACGAGCGCGTGGCGCCGGCGCTTGACGCGCACGACGCCCAGCGCACGGCCATCTCCCTCTCCAACCACCAGTGCACGTATCTTGCGCAGCTCCCGGATCTCATCGCTGACTGCAACGCCGTCATTGCCGAGTATAAGCTGTTCAAGAACCCGCCCCCGCCCGAGACAGACGACCCCTACGCGCTTCTCCTGGGCGCCACCCCGGACCTCATCTGACCCTCCATCAACACCCCTCCCTTCATACAGACGACGATCGCAACATCGTCTCCTCTGAGCGCCCACCAACTGCTGGACGCCGAATAAACGAACAAAACGTCTTTTTTTTGCCATCGCTGTGTGTTCGCGACCTCTGTTTCTGCCGGCGTTTCGCATATTCAGTGAATGCTGCGCAGCATGCCGGCACACCTAGCCCCTGGACACCACAGCCATACACCTCATTCCCCGTCCCACACACGCATATACACATAGACACACACAGACACCACAGACACCCATAGACACACTACATCTTCCCTCCCCGCACGTCCCACCTCCAGTCCACCCTCCCATTGTGTACGAGGCGTCTCACGGCGGTGCTTTACAGTGGTGCTTCACGGCGGTCCATTTTTCGACCGGAGAGCCATGGCATACTTGAGGAGCTCAGTGGACGTCTCGGGCGTGTTCAGCGTCTCGCCGAGTGGAGGCACGTCTGCAACAGTGACAAACGTACACACGGCAACGAGTAGGGGTCGAGGAGCTGCTGGTGGGGATGGGTTTGTGCAGCAAGTGCTTGGCGGTGGTCCCCGGCAAGCGTTGACCGTGCCCTTTGTTCCGCCGTTGTCGTCGTCGGACGAAGGTGCGGAATTGGCAACGCAAAATGGGGTGGCGGCAGGTGTGCCAGCTGTGTGGGAGGGCGAGCTGGTGTTCCCAGCGGATCTGGCGGTGGTGTTTGGCGGCGAGTCGTTGGCGGCGAGGATGTTGGCCGCGCCAGCGCACTTGCGAAAGGAGAGTGATCGGACGCTGATGGATAGGGTGGCGCCGCGGCTCAAGTTTGTGTTTGTGGCGGCCGATGAGGTGTGGAACACGACGCCGAATGCGAGCCATACGGAGTTTTCGAGTGTGTTTGAGCTCGTGAGCCTCTGCTCATCGGATGGGCATGGGCCCGAGACGGTGTTTGGTCAACTGTTGGCATTTGTGGCGGGGAATCCCGAGTACCGGCTAGTGTGCTTACTTCCCCCCGCGTGCGTCCGGCTTTGCACCCCAACACGGGCACTGGCTCGGCCAGCATCTTCCATCGGCGGCTGTACCTCTTTGCCGCCGAGGACCGCCTCTTTGCAGGCAGCGTGATGTGCGAGACGTCGGTGAAGGTGAAGAGCTTCGCAAATCCGCCGCGAAAGGCAGGCTTGCCTGACCCCGTGCGCTCGCATGCGGCGGTGTGCCCTCTCTCGCCCGTACCACAGCCGTCCCATGAAGCGGCGGGGCCACAGTTGGTCTCGCCGTCTGAGGTCGCGCATAGTACGCAGGCACACACGCCATCGACGCCGTCCGAGCTTCCACACCCGCTACTGGATTGCTCGACGAGCCTCTTTCCCAGTGGATGGGATTTTGATCCCATCCACAAGCTCCAGCCTGAGGCCGCAGCGCCTGCAGTGACCCCCGCAAGCCCGTCGCGGAAGCGACGGCGCGCGCCGTCGGCGTCGGACGCGTTGCCCCGTCGCAAGCGGTTCAAAAAGGCGCAGCTGAAACTTCTCCGCAATGCGCGCTCGATGCTTCCTTCAAAGACCCGATATCCCGGAAAGCCAGACTTGGACGACCTCGTGAGTCGCGTCGCATCTGTCGGCGATGAGTGCGATAGGAACGACTTGACCAGGCTGAAGTTGCGAGTGCGGAAATGGTTCTCGAACCAGCTGTATCGCAAGTCGTCGCGTTCGACACAATCGTAACGGTAGTCCGAGTCCCCAGTTCACGCCGAAAGGCTCCTTCACTCCTCCAGGCTTTCTCGTACGTACGCGCGGGCGATAGCCACGCCAGTGGGGCTTGATGGCATGCACGCCTTTACATGCTGTAGCGCTCGCGCCTCCTACTCGAGTTCGGCCACAATCGCCTCAAACGTTGGCCGGTCCGACGGCTCGTGCGTCCAGCACCGCTGCGCCAGTGCCTGGAGCACAGGGTGTCCGTCCATGGCGTCCACGGACGGCCGGTGCCCGTTGGCGATGAGGTGCATGATAAACATGAGCGGCAGGCCAAGGCCCATGTACGGCCAGCGGCCCGTGGTGAGCTCAAAGAGTGTGATGCCAAAAGCGTAGACGTCCCACGCGCGCCGCGGACGCGGCGGCGTAGCCATGGCCTCGGGCGGCATGAACACCATCGTGCCACCGACACTTGTCGTCGCAGCGCCCGACGTCGCGAGCATCCGCGCGAGCCCAAAGTCCGAGACCTTGGCCACGGGCGCATCCCGCGTCCCGCCAACAAGCACATTGAGTGCCTTAAGATCCATGTGCAGGATTGGTGGTTCACACGCGTGGAGGTAGGCCATGCCACGCGCAATGCCAAGCGCTAGCGACAGGCACGTGGCGACGTCGAGAGGCGAACCGATCTCGTACCCCTGGTCCACCACGTGCCGGAGCGAGCCGAATGGCACAAACTCCATCACGATCATCACTGTGTCGTCGCTGGCGTCAAAGACGCCAAGGAACGCGACGATGTTGGCGTGCTTGAGCTTGTACATGGCCTTGACCTCGCGCTCGAGATCTTCCCGTCCTGCGGGTGTCATATCAATGATGCGCTTGACGGCCACGTCGCGCTCTCCCATCCGGCCCTTGTACACCACGCCAAAGCCCCCGCGCCCCAGCACCGCATCAGGGTCGATCACAAGCGCGTCGCTGGCCACAACGGCCAATGACGAGGGGAGCCCGGGAAGCCCACCGATGTGGGCCTTCTTTGGAGCCGTGCACGCCCACCCACTCACGGTTGACGATGACGACGCTCCCGCACCGTCGCGCGCGACCGGCGGGGCCATGATCGACGACGAGCCCAGCTTGGCGTAGGTCGAGCTCGGCCGCGGCGCCAAGAACGGCTCATGTTCCACCGTCGTGTCGAGCAGCCACGCGTCGCCCACCCCGGACTCTACGTACTCGAGGTACATGCGCACGGCAGACCGCAGATCCTCTTCCTTCGTGTCGCACGGCACTGAGGAGGCGGCGCCCGGCACCGCGCGCCGAAGCGCCCCGGTCGAACGCGCTGCCGTTTCTAGCTGCCGCGCAAAATCGAGGGCAGTCCCGCCTTGCCGCTCAAACAGGAATGCAAAGCGTGGATCCACCGCGGCCGTCGCAAGTTGCGCGTTCAGCTGAGAGCCGGTCTCGGTGACCTTGGCGTTGAACGTCCACTCGCCCGTCTCGCCAACCGAGGCGCCGGCCTGAACGACCGCGGCCACGTGTGCCACCCAACCACTGAGCACAGCCACATGCAGCACGCTTGATCCGGGACAGACGGCGTACGAGCACTTGATCGCTGCTGCAGATGTCTCCACATTCCCGTTGCCGGTGGCGTAGGCCACGGTCGGTGGCGGAAGCCCGTTGCTCTCGATCCACTCGGTGATAGCAGTCTCGCGCGTGAGCGGCTGCGGCGCGCTGTAAACGCCAGATGCATAATCGGCTTTGAGCACAAGTTGCACAAGCTTGTTCTCCTTTGGCTTCTTCAGGTAACTGTACATGGGAACAGGTAAGACGTGTGGTACGGGCAAGGCTAGCCCTTCATGCCCATGCCGGAAAACCCACTACAGTTCCGTGGAATCATTCTTTTGCTCAACCGCCTCGGTTTTGCTATTGCTCCGCACTTTTGCCGGCCACCTCCAACCAGCCCAGCCCGCCAACCCTCTACACCACGGGCACCGTAGCCTTTCAGTGCTATCCCAGATTTCTCTATGTGACTATAAAGGCACTCGACGATGCGGAGGCGGGGGTGGAGATGAAGGATGTCGTGTCGAGGTCAGCGGCTCATCAGCGTCGTTTCCCTGCCGGGGCACAGCTTGTGAAGGAAAAAAAACAGCCAGCGAATGGAAGGGATTCGACGGCGCCTGGTGGGTGGCCCATCCGACCTGATCTAACCGAAGCGATTGATGCCACTGGGAGGTGGGGGGTGGCGACGGGGATGTGTGACTACGAGCGTTTGCTGCGCTTGGACTGGCGGGAGGAGGCGTGATCGACATCGTCACCATGGCGGCGGCGCTTGCGATCCTTGTCATTGTCCATGCTCTTGCTCTTGCTCTTGCTCTTGCTCTTGCTCTTATCCTTGCTCTTGCCCTTATCCTTGCTCTTGCCCTTATCCTTGCTCTTGCCCTTATCCTTGCTCTTGCCCTTATCCTTGCTCTTGCCCTTATCCTTGTCCTTGCCCTTACCCTTGCCCTTGCCCTTGCCCTTGCCCTTCATCGACTTGGACAGCGAGGCCCAGTTCGAAGTGGCGACGGCGGAGCGGACGTGCGAGGAAAGAGCGTCCTTGCGCTCCTGGGCGCGATTGGCGCGAAAGGCGCGCGAGTCGGCGCCGGTGGCGTGGGCGGTGCGGCTGGTTTCGAGCGGAGCGGCAAAGGCTGCGGCGATGGCCTCGACATGGGCGTCGGTGATGGTAAGCGAGGCGGCGGCGAGTTCGTTCTGCAAAAAGACAATCGAGGTGTCGTTAGAGGCGAGTCGGAAGCGGGTCTTGCGCAGATGCTGCTTGCCCTCGCAGTATGCGTGCTCAGCGGCAGGGAGCACCGCGGTCCGCGAGGCGTGCGGCGAGGTGGTGAGCGCGAGCCAGGCCGGCGACTGACGCCAGGCCGGAACGATGACGACAAAGGTGAGCGGGCCAGAGGCTGCAGCAAGGCACTTGTGCATGTGTGCGAGCATGCGGGTGATGAACGGCTCGGTAAACGGTGGATTGGCCTCCACAACGCCTGCATCGGGCATGGCGTCAAAGAACGAGCCCGACGAGCCAAAGGCCGCATCGATGGCCGGGAGTGCAGAGTGGTATCGCGGGAGCGTGACGTTGAGCGGCGAGGCAAAGGCCTCGGTGTCGGCGTGGAACGGCGCCGCAGCAAGGAGATCAAAGACCGGATCCGGGAGCGCAGCCTGGAACCCGCCGCCCTCGAGCGCATTGTACTGGAAGAGGAGGAGGAAGAGGAGCTCGACGTCGACATCGCCCTCGGCCGGCCGCGGGCCTGTGTACCGCGCCGCCAGCTTGGTCACGTGCTCGACGTTGATGGCCACCGCCAGCGACTTGGTCGGCACGAACCGATCCTTGCGCTTGCGCCGCTTGGGCACCCACACCGAGTTGTGCAGCGCATCAGTCAGCGCCTCGGGCAGCGGCATCGAGAGCGTCCACTTGGTCTCGGAGCCCGTAGCGCGAATGACCGGCTCCCAGCCGGCAAACGGCTCACTGCCATCGCGCCCGCATGCCTCGGCCACCAGCGCCGCCAGCGGTTCCGTCGCCAGCGCAGCGTGCATGATCTCCAGCGCCGCCGTGAGGCACTTGCTCGCCGGAAGATCAACGCCGACAAGCGAAACATACTCGTCCCATACATCGGCGTTCTCCTTCAGCGCCGCCGCCACCTCTTCATACGAGCCGAAACCGCAGCCAGCCGCCGTGAGGCCAAGCTGAAGTCGACGCCAGGCGAGGCCGAGCGCCGAAGCCTTTGCCGTCGGTGGGCTGCTCCCCCTCGCCATGTCGTCCAGCCACTCGTTGAGGGCAGAGTACACTTGCTCTTGCATGTAGAACCGCTCAAGCACACCGCACATCCGTTTCTTGTCCTGCACAGCAGTTTGTCGTGCAAGCATGCTGGTCTGTCTCTCTGCAGCTGTCTATCTCTGTCTATCTCACTCAAGTGCCACACCCACTGTCACTCGACGAGAGATGGATGGATGGATGGATGGGCCGGGGGGGGAGGGGGGGCGTTTATATCCCCCCCCTCACCAAAAAAAAAAGGGGGGGGGCAAAAAAAATCTTTTTTTTTTTGG